GGGGCTAAAATATGTTTTGTGTGATATTCAAGATTTCAAAATATTGCTTACTTTGTGAAACGCACCATCAGCCGGACTAAAAACAATCATAAGGACACAATTATGTCCCATTATGTCGTAAAGCTTAACATCTCAAATGTGTTCGATTATAAACCACTGGTCCTTGGATATATTGGTCACAGACACATTCCAATCCATAGAGTATTGCGTCCCAAAATCTTCTGCACCAGTTTTCTCCACAAGGACGAGGTAAAGCTGCAACCAAAAAACGGGTGATCTCTTGTTTCTTTAGGATCATCACAAAAATACACTTTGCATCAGCGCACACGTTCCAATTCATCATGCGGTCACCCGTTGACAATTTGTTCGTCATTGCCAACTATGTACAGAACGATTGCTTATGAGTTTCATGACTGAATCACACTCCACTGTGCCATTCAAATTTTCCCTGAGGTGACCAGGGGCGTACGACCTTTCGAGGTAACGTCCTGCCCAGTGTCATGCAGTTCCGGACTAAGGGTGACGACATGACTATCCCGCTAAAACCCGTAAGCCAGCTCACAAGCCAAATGTGATGTACAAACTTTCGAGGTGACGGCTAGATCTAATGTCATGTGAAAAGTGGGTTAAGTTGCGAAATATGATTGTTATAATAAGTATATTATACTTGAAATAGTATAATTATAAGATTGTGTTGTGTTAGATGACAAGTTGTATGATGCATGACTATTGATAGGTTTAGTATATTTGGTTGCTGAATTTTATTGTTGTATGGTATGCAGGTCCGACTCAAAGTTGTATTGGATCCTGTGCAATTTTTTTTTCTAATACAAATAATTTTAAAAAATCTGTAATAAAATGGTTCTAATTTTTTTTTTGATAAGAGCTTTAAATTTTTAAGTAAAAATTGTCAAAATAAATGGACCCTTTGCAATTGCATTTTGGGCACATGCCAAGAGCCAGACCTGGTGGTATTAATCGTTTTCACTAAGTAATTCATTTCTCATCTTTATTTTAGTGTGTACATATGCTTCTTGTGGCTCAAGTTAGGGTGTGAGACCTAGGACTTAAAATGACCGGGATGGGTGTTACTCAACTTCCAACCGAGTAAAACCGTAATCGTAGGGTTAAGATAATCCGACAAAATCCTTCCGAACATGAACATATATCCAGCTATTAGAATTGCATGATGTTTGTATTTCTATAAAGGAAATTAAGGGACAAGGCGTACTGTATAATGTATTCATATCTTACAAATGTAATATGGTGGAATTATGGTTATTCATTCCAACTGTATTCATTCATCTACGAGGAAGCATTTTTTATTTCACTCTCTTCCTTTTTCTAAATTAAATTACAGAAATCGGATGGTGCAATATGAGTTTCATAGTGATGACTGTGGACAGAAAAGGGCAATTACTAAAGAATTTTGAACTTTCCAGCCTTACACAACCATCAAATCATCGAGTTGTTTGTTGTATGTCAGTATGTGATAACATTTAGTTCAGCAACTGCCCTTTTACTGTCATCTCTCTCGAGCTCTCAGATACTATGTGATCATCACGGTGTAACAAACATCCGGCGTATGTATACACCCGACTTTCATCACTAATTAATCTAGAAAGTACACTTGCATGCTTCACCATTTTGTTTAGCCAATTTACATATGGGCTTAGAAGGCCTCATCATACCACTTTGTCTCTACTTCTCTAGATTCAATAAAAGTAAACCTTTATTATGGACCTCATTAAACATGTAACAAGTCCATCAAATATGCACCATAATCTGATCACAAATCCATCGATGGTAGATGGAGGACTACGGAACCATTACTACTTTTGTTTTTTTTTTTGCATTTTCTCATTTACCTAGCATACTAATGACATCATAATCTGGTAGTTTAAGAGTCACGATAAACATAGGTAGGATAGGACAGACTATGCTTACTCTAAATTCAAAAGAAGAGTGGTGCACCTAAAGCACTCTACTATCTATAAAAATAAATAAGCACCACATTTTTTTTCTTTTTTGTTTCTTAAATGGCGAAGAAAAGACTGACTTCTCCACCCAAAAAGGCGAAGATAGTATGTTAATGATAGAAACCGACAAAACTAGTGTTCTTTTTTCCCAAAACAATGTTAGAAGATTTTGGAATGTTTTAGTTGAAGACAATATTACGAACACTAATCTAATCGGGAAAACTGGCCTAACCATTCTGACTATTTTACTCGCCTTTCTCCTACGAAAAACCATCAAAAGTCAAACTGTACAAGTAGTTATGTGGAAGTTTTGTTAAATGGTTAGCTAAAAAGTTGGGAATCTTTTACATTATGTCTGATGTTCAGATTCATGAATAGTTTACAGATCGTTGAAATTGAGTGTACATAGATTCCATGTTGAATTGATGATGCAGTTTGAATAATTTAGAAATCATTATGCAATATGTTAGGATGTTCCGATAAATATGATTGCATGTAATGGATAAGTAATCATTCCGCCTCGGCGTCTAGTGGACTACCCACAATCTTTTACTTTTTGAAGACTTTGCTACTAAAGGAAAAATCGTTTTTAGGTTTCTTTTTTTTCATATTCTTTCAAAACCAACGTAAATTTAGGAAAATTTTAACGATCGTTGATCACTTAGGGTAGGCAGTAAATGCAATCCAAACATTTCAGAGTTTATATCGTTAGAGCACCCACAACAAGAAGTACTTAGGGAAAATCCTTAAGATAATATTAACTAGATTTTGACCCGCGCTTAAAAGAACGAAAATTTTTTATGATTAAAAAATTATATAATTGGGTTTTGTCATAATTTAAATAATATTTTGATATAAAATCAGTTCACCAAAATTTGTGGTAATGATTGTTTTTCATTAGTTTTTAGTTTCAGTTTTTATTTTTAGATTTTGGATTTTGGTTTTTAGTTTTTACGTTTCTACTTTTCATTTTCAGTTTTTGGTTTGGGTTTTTAATTTTTAAACCCGCCGAGTTAGTTTGAACAAATATTACCAACAAACAAATCTCAAATATTCGAACATCTAATTTAAAACTGAAAAGATGAAAACAATTTTTTTAAAAAAAATTGAAATAGTTTATTTTGTGAATAAACAAAGCAAAACAATATAATATGTGTTTTCAGCTTTTGGTTTTGGATTTTAGTTTAGATTTGTTTTTTGGTTTTGCTTTACATTTCTTTAATCAGTAAATTATTTAAGAAAAATAAAACAATAAATTATTTAAAATCTACCATTGAAATTTACCAAAACAAAGTGATTGTTATTTAAAATAAAAAAAAAATATTCACATGTTTTAAAACACATGATTTAAATAAATGATTAATAATGGATAATTTTGTTTAGTTAGAAATATTAAATACATTTTGGGTCTGAAAATAATAATTGATTTTTGATCTTTTAAGGTGAAAAGTTTATTCAATGTTTTTTGAGTTTTTTCTTAATACTAAGCGCAAAAACCAAACTATATAATTTGTTCAAAAAATAAAAGTAAGCCCAAAACTATATTCCATAAATAATCACTGGTTTAATTTAAGTATAATTAGTAGATTTCCATATTCCATATTTTTATGATATATATTCTTTTAGAACATTCCATATTTGTAGGAGAAAATATGTGTTTTTAGTATACACATAGATATCTACCGTATTTTGAAGGTAGTTTACATTAATGTCGTCTTTTTACATTATTTTTTTTTCTGTTTAATTTAAGTAATACGGTTCAATTAATTATATGACTTATATTATTTGTAACATTCTGTAAAGAGTCCAAATTTAAATGACAACTTGTATCAGCAGATAAAAAGAATGACACTATTTTAATAGAGTAGATTTTATAATTAATTGATCCTATGAACAGTTAATGATTATATCTTTAAAATCATTATTTAAGGATTGATCCTTACACTATTCGCAAGCTCCACTGTCTACATGGCGGCCTGCGAATGGTCAGTTTTTTTCTTAAAGAAAAAATTTGAAATATCCTTATATAATCCAAAATGTCCATATTTTTTTTCCTAATGATTTCCCTTAAAAATCTCTTGTTGCGGGTGCTCTTATACTCCACTATTCTAATCTATTAATGGGGATTTCTGGTCCCAAAGTTAGAACTTCTATTGAAGATGCTCTGACTATAGTTTTCTAACCAAAATAATATCATATTGTAAATAATTTAATTATGCATTTAAATTTTTATATTCAAGTAAAAAGTAGACTACCAATTAGACAACAGCAGATGTTTTAGTGATGTTTCAGGGATTATAAATTATAACATTTTATTTTTTCATTTTGTACAGAAATGCTTTTTGATAACCTTGCATTGAAGGTGGCCCATAATGTTCATATTTCTCAAAAAAATGATTTAGGACTAACTAACGAAAAACAAAATTATGTGGTCTACTGATTTCTTTCGCCATGTGGATAAAATGTAATTACTGACGTCCATCATCTGTATAAAAATTACATAAACATAATTAAAGCTTTTATAATTGTACACGCGACAGTAAACATTTTAACTGACAAAATATTTGTGTGTGTTTAACATGAACCGGAGATAATCTGATTTTTGGACCTTTCAGACTATGATCTACTCCTTTATAAAAAGAAAATTAACGTTTTGTTGACACACACGAGCAAAAAAGTTCTAAATGATCTCAACTTGCTGTATAAAACGATATATATACACTAGCACACATAAGATATGAAACCTACCACAATAAATATATTAGAAAATAAAGAGTAGGAAATGTTTTTATCCAAGTAATGATGATTAATTTCCCATTCTGCTCCATCGAACAGGAAGCTCCCGTCCACTATCTCCGGCGAAACTCACCTGCTTCTGCACATGTTTAATTTGTTCTTTGTCACTTAACTATTATTTAGTTTACAAGAAAAAATAATAATGTATAATTAGCCAAACAAACCGACAAAATATTAGTTGATGATCGAGAGGATCTCCATCATTGATTTAAGTATGATTAATGTTTGACTATATATATACAACTAATTTCCGTTAACATGCATCTATGTACGTATCCATATGTGATACGTTCTGTGTATATTACATACGTCATACTCACGTTTATAGATAAGTTACATATACCCAAGTTGCCTAGTGGTTCTATAACTATCATCAAATTCTAAAGCAATACAGGAAATTAAAATTCTGTTTCTTGTCTTGTTTTAGTACATAAATTTTATTCTGTTAAACCAATAGTTAACTATTTGCTTAATTCTCTGATGTAATCCATTATTGCCAAAACAAAACCATATTGAGTGATAGTTTGACAATTATTTACAATTTTAAATGTCATCTCTTTTCTAGATGCTTTTTTATTAGGTTTCATATCTCGTCTGCTTATATCATCAATATTATAGATTCATTCTATTAAAGCCTAAATTAAAATTTCAGTTAAAATGATTTTTTAGTTATTTTGTTGAATAGCATCAAATAGTTGAAATTCAAGCCTTTGACGCAGTAAAATTATTTTGACCAGAACTCATAGTAAGACCAAGATTATTTTTCAAAGAAATATAAAATACCTCACGTGCCTTAATCTCCCCGGCACCAAGTTTCCGGAGACTTTCACCGCCGCCAATCTCGCCGGATCTCTCCCTATAGAGACTTAAAATCTTATCAGCTATCTCAGCATCATCGTGGCTCTCCTCCATAAACTTCGTAATTTGAGACCGAGGCAGCCTAACCCTCACGCTCGTTTGACCAGGCCCAAGCCCAAGCCCAGGCCCATCACCGCCGTCTGATCTACCGATCGCCACGTCGGAAACCGTTCTCCGAGAAAGCATGAGCATCTCTAACCGCTCCTTCGCGCCGACGTGGATCCCCGACATCACTCTCCGGTACGGAAGCTTGTTATCAGTCTCCGACGTAGTCTCCGGCGGAAGCTTCGGAAGCTCGACGAGAAAATACGTTTTCTTGGGTTTCAAGAGTTGGCTCGGCTCGAGCGGTTTTGAACGTACTCCGAAGTGTTTAACGGCTTCCGAGTCTAACAGCACGTAACCAGGATACTCCGCCGTAACTTCTCTCGCCGTCGTCGGAGTTTTAATACGGAAAACCTCGCCGTCGATTTTCATCACTTTGGCTCTCTTTCTCTTTATCGTCATGCTGTTTCCCATTTTCTCTGCTTTTTGTTATTAGTGGATAAAATGTGAAATGTCATAAAGCGGCAAGATGGTGTATTTATATATGATAGAGGTTTGGGTTTATAACTATATATATACTTTTTTATAGTATGTGTGAAGCTGCGAAATTTTACAAAGATTCGTTCTAGTTCCTTTTTTGTAAAGTCGTTAACGTTGAAATATTTTTCATTAATGTTTGAAAAGAATATTTATCTTGAATAGGTCGGTCCATGCTAAATTAGCTATAGTTTAATAACGATTTATTACAGCGTTTGATTGTTAGTTAGAGACTTTTAATAGGCAATCTAGAATTAGCTTGGGTATTTAAATGTTTATGACTGTAACTACCCCTCGTGCTTTTCGTGCTACGTATTTTTCAAGTTCTATGCTTTTATTCGTATATAACTCATGCCTCATGTAGCTATATTTATGCTATTTGTGTAGTAGCTGTGAAAAGTACAAAATAAAATTAATTAATTATATTTTTTGCTAACTTTTCTTTTTGAAATACATATTCCTTTACTAGCTAAAATAAATGTTTACTATTCAGAATCATTAGTCAATATTTATATTTAACACAAAAATTTATTATTTAGAGTTTTAGACTACTCTTGAATAAGTAAAAAAAGGCAACACAGTACGGGTGCCGGGATACACAGTACGGGTGCCGGGATGTTTGTTAATGGTCAAACAAAGCATGCTGCATTTACTATTCTTTAGAACTCATAATCAAATGACAAACTTAACCATTAAAAAAAAAACTTACTAACTATTTTCTTTAAAATAAAATCTTATATTTTTAATTATAAAATTACTAACTATAGTCTTAAAACTACCAGGTCTCAAAGAATCTTATGGCTTTGTAGTAAGATTAATTTGGCTAGTTTGGTAAAATCATTGTATCTGTATAAATTCGGCTTGCTATCTCAGTTACTAGGCTTCTCTGGTTTTCTCTACAAACGCACAGAGAAGTTTGAGATAGCTAACCAGTTATTATATGGCATACAATTTTGACTTTGGTGTGATTCCAAATACACAAAGCCGCACTACGGATGATGTTGGGCTAATGCGTAGATCTATTTAGATCAGTGAGATATAAATTGCAGGTTATTGAATCAAACAGTTTGTTAACACCTATTTAAACTTAGGCCCGTACTGCTAATCAACTACATTCATTTGTTATAGCAAAATACTGATAGGAAAAGATTCGATTGCAACAGATTCAGTATACTAGACAGTAAACACGACCCAAACGTTTAACTGCGAGTTTGAAAAAGAACTGAACTATCATTGTATTCGGCCAGTTCAAATAAGTGCCATAGTAAACAGTAGTATTAGCAAGAGAAGATAAAGAAAAGTTATAAAAAAGAGATTTTTATTGAAATTTCAATGTGTTTTACAACTCTTAATTGTCCATATCCATTAGGTACAAAAGGCAACAAGTGAATCAAACTTCTAGAGCCTAGACTACGTAAATCTATCAGCAGACCACTGCCCTCGCGACCGCAACTGGCTTTATCGATTCCTTTGCAGGCCCTTTTCGAGGTGCAGGCATACAGTTAACATGAACTATAGGACCAGACCCATTCATATTCAAGTAGGCAGCATCTCTATACATCCAATCATCTTCCTCATGGCTGAAAAACTCCTCCAACGACTCCAAGCACAACGCACACATCTTCTGGTTCTCATCAGCATGCACTATATGTTGCTGCTGTTGTGTCTCCTCTTCTTTCGTCTTCTGGGTCTCTCCAAAAACAGGTTTCGCCCCTTCCACTGCCGCTCCTGTCGCTGCACTGAGCCATAGAGACGAGCTAGCAAACCAATCACGCGACTTCTTCGGTTTCTGAGTCAACCTAGTCCCTTTGGTCGCGTCTTTAGCCATCCTGTTCTTCCTCACGTGCCAATCCATGTGCTTGCTATGCTCTTCTTGACACTTGAATCTAACCCCACACGAAGAACACTGCCTCGGCATGTCGGAATACAGAGACTTGATAACAGATTCACGTCGCACGTTAAGATTAATTTTATCAAAATCAAGCCCAATATCATCACATTCTTTTTCTTTCTCATTGTTGTTGAGAACGCTAAGTAAATCAGCCAATTCTTTGCTCACAATAGGTTGTTGTGGTAATGATTGTGACACAACAGAAACCATGTTTGAATGATTCATAGGGATCGAGTTTTGCAAATTCGTAAACACAGGTTGGTTAGCGTTAAACCGGACTCCGGTTATGTCACGGTTAGTGTTAGGTACGAAATTAGGAACCCATTCCGGTAACGAATCGAAACCATCTAACTTACGATAAGGTAAAGGAAGCGGAACCGATTGATTAGGGCTTCCATAACGATACGGTTTCTGATAATCGGTGTTAGGTTGCGAATGAAAAGGAAAGATATTACTAGAATTAGAATTGATCACATCACCGTAATTAGAAACCCTAGACAAGTTACTATCATGATGATGATGACGATACAGAGGAATCCCGCCGCCGTTAGGTTTAGCCGATTGGAATTGCGTTTGCGTCGTCTGATATCTGGGGCGTTTCTGAGGCGGTGCGTAACGGCTTCTTCGCTCTTCCTGTTCCTGGAAACCTCCGATTCTGCATCCGCGGTTGTCGATTGGTCTCTTCAACATGGTTGATCTTCCACCGTTACGATGGGAGTTTCTCTGGTGAGCGTAGACTCCGTTGGATGAAGACATCTTAATCAAATTTAAAAGAGATGTATGAGTTTCTATGAACGATTAAGAATGATGAAATAAAAACCCTAGATTTGGATTGATTGTTTATGCGATGGAAAAAGAGGCGAATATCCGAAAATTATGATCGATGAAAAGGAAACGAATGTGAAGACGCAAACAGAAGGGTCGGTGGTATTATATAGATTTTTTAAGTCGGTTGAGAGTAAAGCGCGTGAAAAGCGCGTATCCGTCCAAAAATTCACGCGGGTTTTATTTTAATTGGGCTGCGCTCATAAAGCCCAACCTGTTAATGGGCCTTTTTTATTGGGCCGTTCTGGAATCTACTCGCCTTCTCCCACTCTATGTTCTGTTCTTTCCTCAATGATCGGGAAGTTAAACCCCAGAGGAGGAGGAAGTGATGGATTCGGAGAAGGCACTAGAACTAGTGAAGCATGGAGCTACGCTTCTATTTCTCGACGTTCCTCAGCATACTCTCATCGGAATCGATACTCAGGTCAGTTACTTACCTCTTTCAAAAGGTCTAAAACCTGTTGATAAATCACCGTAGAAAGGTATCGAATCGTTAGTTCGAGTTTTCTTGAGCGTTAGTATACTGAATTTGAGCACTATCGTCACTTCACGTAAAGAACTAAATCTTGGAGACTTAACAGATTCATTGTTAGTGGAATTTGCGTATCTTAAAAATGTTGTGAGTTGTCGTTTGCAGATGTTCACAGTGGGGCCAAATTTCAAAGGGATAAAGATGATCCCACCTGGAATTCACTTTGTATTCTACAGTTCGTCCACCAGGTTCATTCAAGTCTTTTGTATATAATGTATTAACATGATACAAACCATGATTAACTGCAAACTTTATATTTTTATCCAGGGATGGTAAAGAGTTTTCACCTACCATTGGCTTCTTCATTGATGTTGCTCCTTCTCAGGTTTGAAATCATTCTTACTTTAACAACTTTCAATACTTTGATAATATCTTATAAGAAGCGCCATGGAACTGTATTTATCCAATCATGGGTGTATTTTTTCTTGGCTGCACAAGGTTATTGTACGCAAATGGAATCAGCAAGACGAGTGGCTAGCCAAAGTATCTGAAGAAGAGGTTTGTCTCTTTTAATATCCCAATCCATCAAGTTTTCTCCATGCTGCTTCAATTTTAATTTGTCGTTTGCATCTTTGTTTCAATTATATTTGATTAGTTTAATGCATGTTGAGCATAAGAGATATCATTTTGCAGTAGTCGCTAATTATTAGGCTCGAGAAGCAGTGCTGATTCATTTTGTTTTTCATTATTTTCACTTTGATTCCAGGAGGAGAGGTATTCTCAAGGAGTGAAGAGTCTGGAGTTTGACAAACATCTTGGTCCTTACAATTTAAGTCAGTATGGAGCATGGAAGCACTTGTCTAACTACATTACCAAGGATGTTATTGAGAAGTTTGGTATGTGAAGTGGGTTCTTGAACCACAATGTTAAGAGTTTCTCTCAATCGAGTAGTGAACACTGTAAGACCTGACTTGTTCCGTTTTGCAGAGCCAGTTGGAGGAGAAATAACAGTCATCTACGAATCTGCCATTCTAAAAGGCGGACCTAAGACGGAAATGGAAAGGGCACTTGACGCGCAGATGAAGAAAAGCAAGTCTGAGGAATTATCATCATCTACTGAGCAACCCAAAGGGAATAGGTTTTACTATACTTCTATTCCTCGGATTATAAAGCACAAGGGAATGTCTGGTCAGGAGCTAACCTCTTTGAATCTTGACAAGGTTACTCCCCTCTTTATCTTTTTTCTTCTTTACTTTTTCGGTAGATCTTTTGAACCTTAAAAAATCCTGTGAAGCTTAGTTGATGACATTTCCTCTTTTTGGTTGTACAGACTCAACTGCTAGAAAGTGTATTGGCAAAGGAGTACAAAGCCTCGGAAGACTTGCTTCTTGGAGAGCTACAGTTTTCATTTGTAGCATTTTTGGTATGTACTCTTAACACATACACACAGTGCATGTTTATGTATGATCACAAATAAAAATCCTTCAGATTTGTATTCCATTCTCAGATCACGGTGTCACATTATTGTGCAGATGGGGCAGTCTCTTGAATCCTTCATGCAGTGGAAGTCCTTAGTTAGTCTTTTACTAGGATGCACTGAAGCGGTATGCGATTTCAAAAGACCTAATCTTTGATGTGATGGGTTTTTTTTTCTTTCTATCTTTTCTGTTTTTTTTTTTTTTTTTGGTTATGATCCGGATTTCGCAAAATTGATGCAACTTCATGCCCTTTGTGACCTTTTGCAGCCATTTCAGACTAGGAGTGGACTATTCACAAAGGTAAGTTTCGTCAATTGTCATTTATAAACTATATTTGAGGATGCATATGGATGCTATTTAAACCAATTAATTATATTATATCCCGTTTTTCTCAATTGTTATGTGCACTCCTAAATATATAGTATCCACTATGCAGGCTTCTACCAGTTGTCATTCTACGAACTTAATTAGTTCCTAACTTAATCTTTCATGTTGTATTTATTACAGTTCATTAAGGTCATCTACCATCAACTAAAATATGGACTACAGAAAGAGAGCAATGAGCCAGAGATGGGAGTACTTGCACTTCTTGATGATTCTTGGCTAGCTTCAGATAGCTTTCTGCATTTACTTTGCAAGGTAAAATCTCTGACTAGCTTCAGATAGCTTTCTGCATACGTTTTGGATTTAAAAAAATTTGAGTTTGAACTTCCTTTGCTTTTTGATAACAGGACTTTTTTGCGTTAGTGGAAGAGGCATCTGTAGTTGATGGAGATTTATTGTCGTGGGTATGTACAAAAAATCTACATAAACAGATCACACAGTGTGTACATCAGTTTCATTTTCACATAATGTATTTTATTGCAGACAAGGAAGTTCAAAGAGTTGCTTGAGAACAGATTAGGATGGGAGTTTCATAAGAAGAGCGATGTTGATGGTATCTACTTTGACGAAGATGATGAGGTAGATTCTTTTGCTTCCTCCTCTTTCTTTTTTTCTGGGTTGCTCATGGACTTTCATTAACTTGACATGGTGCAGTATGCTCCTGTGGTGGAGATGTTGGATGAAAGTCATATGGCCACTTAGAGAGATAGATGCAAAGCATTATTCTGTTTTATCCGACATTTTGGGGGATCTTTGCTATGCACAGATGTTGGTATGATGCTAAAATGCTGAATGTTATTCTAACACGAGTTAATATACAATTCTCACACTAGTGAAAAAGTATGTAGAATTTGTTTATTTCAGATCTAGAAGTCTTTCTCCCTGGAGAAGTGAACAAATAGTATTACACCAAAGAATGTGGGGAATATTAATCATAAACAAAATTAAAATGTGACAAGGAATGAACTAAATTGACATTTAGAGCAAACTTTAGGCTCTGTCTTCACAGCTTCTTCAGCTTTTGACCTCTTAAGCCATTCCAAAAAGCAGTCGCATCGATGGCTTTCTTACCAGGAAGTTGGACTTCAAGTACCTGAGTGAGCAAAACAACAAATGGTAGATGAAATAAGATCTTCCCTTCTGGATTAACACTCAGCCGGAAACTCTTCCCTTCTGGATTAACACTCAGCCGGAAACTAAGCAAGTGTATAGCTTTTTACCTCCAAAGCTGTGCCGCCTCCACAGGGAAACACCAACGAACCTTTCTTGAAAGTTACATAATCTTGTTCACCGTTCAGGACTTCTGTACTTTGACATATTCGAGTGGTGATGATCTTAAGCTCTAGCTCGTTTTGCTGACCGCTTTTGTCATCAAGGACCAAGACTTTAGCTCGTGTCCCTGGCCATCCTGCGAATGCACGAACCTAGAAAGCGGTTTTAACTTCTTATTATGTTTATGATTAACTACTAATTGAAAGGGTTTCTACCTTGTTATGTAGAACAAAAGCTTCCTGGTCGAAAGAGAGCCAAGCCTCATCAGGAGCTATCTGTGCAGTTGATTCCAGTCCAGTAAGAATATGATTCTAAACCTCGTTTTTAGTTGAATAACCAAATTTGACTCAGATTATCTAAAAGAGACATGCAACAAATACCTTTGGGGCTAAGGTAGCTTTAGAATCATCTTGAGGAACTGCTTTTGATTTTGCTGACCCATCAAATATCGAAGGAAGTTCACGTATAAGAAGCTTAGACCCTGCAAAGTTTTTTCCGCATATACAAGGCTAAGAAATTCGTATATCCGTAATCATACCCACTCTTCAAATGAAATGTGTGAGAGCATATGAGATAATAAGATTACCTTCAGAAAATAATAACGAGAGTAGTTCTGGTGCCTGCAAATGATTCAAATGAACAAAGGTCATTACGACCCATAGAAATATGTTAAGATGATCAGCTACTTTGAAAGAGAAAAGTAATACCTTTATTTGATCATCAACTTGGAAACTCTTAGAGGCAATCACTGCCCCTGCATCAAGCTTCCGCACAGTAAATGCTAATGACACTCCTGTTTCTTGAACACCATCCTATTACAGCCACCAAGTCTTATAGTGAAAACTCGAGTTAAGCAATAACCTTAAAGTGTTGGAACAAGTCAAGGTTAAAAGAGAAAAAAAATAGCACCTGCAATGCTCTTTGCACGGGAGCAGCACCACGGTACAGTGGCAACAAACTAGGATGTATATTCACTGTCCCTATAAAAATAGTAAACATTGACTTCAAAACACAGTACATAGAAAATAGAATGTTCCATTAAGTAGCGATTTTCCACTAACCATGTAGTGGAATATTAAGGAACTTGGTAGGCAAAATATTCCCATAAGCTGCTGTAACACAAAGCTCTGGTTGCAAATCTCTTAAAGCACATAAAAACGCTTCCTACATACAACAAAACACACAACAAAGATCACATCTTTCTCCAAAAAGCTAAAGAGCTTGATTAATGAGGACCAGAAAGAAAAAAACTTACATCTCCTGCCTTCTCAGGGGAGAAGATTAGATCAGAAGGTAAACCCTTTTCAAGACCGTATTGCGCTACAGGAGATGGCAACACTTTTCTTCCTCTATCTCTTCTCGCTGGAGGCTGTGTTACAATTCCTGCAACCTAGAAACAAGTCGGAATCAGACAAGACCATCTCTCTCACCACATTTGTCTTAATCTTGTTTACCTCGAAGGAAGAGTTTGGTGCAGAAGATGCGTCGAAAAGAGCTTCGAGCACTGTCACGGAAACCTCATTTCAAAGAGATATTTGGAAATGTCAGGCTAAAACCCTAAACCCATAAAGTCATTTATTGTGAAGTCTCTTACTTGAGGAGAGCCTAAGAAGATGAGAGGTTTCTTCTTGGGAGATGATGAAAGAGTTGCGGAAGCGTTGACGCAGATGAAACGACGTAGCATTAGCGCCGAGTTCATTATTTTCTCTCTGCTTCAAATGGTTTCGGAATTTTCCTTTGGATTCTGGAAACAGAGACGAGACGGAGAAGAGAAGATAATGGCTTGTAATTACATATCTGGATTTAAACCGTTCTAATCAAAGCCAAACCGAATTTAGATAGCGGATGTTCAATTCGAAGTTTGATTCAATTTCTATTTCAATTTTCCGGTTTTCAGTATTTTGATTAATAAAAGTTAGTTATTTTGTAGAGATTATTTTTCAATTTGAACATACTTTTGATTTATTTTAATTTGTATGTTTCTTATTTTTGATTCATACCGTTTTAAACAAAAAAAAAATTACAAATAAATTATTTTGTAAATTTTAATTTATATAATTGTAAAGTGAATTTATTTATTAAAACATAATAACGTTGTTGTACTCTAACTTTTTTAAATAGAATATCTTGTTATATTTTATTTAACTATTAAATACGAAGACGGTTATAGTTTTTAGGTTTGTCACAATAAACACATTTAGTGCATGCTTAATTTCTTTGAATATTTCTTCATACGGTTTTTGTTGGTGTTCAAGAGGAAGTCGGTTAGGCCAACAAGGATGAGGCTTCTTTTGATGTAGAGATCAAAGTTATCACTTCATTTGTTGTGTTTTTTTCTTGCTTTCTGACATCTAATAGTCTAGAGACCCGGCTTATTATCAGAAGACCTAGTTATGTTGCTGGGTCTCAGGATTGTAGCAAACACAGAATATCCTTGCAACATCACTGATTCTGCTATTTGTTTCCACTAGTAACAACAATCTCACATAATATGAATTTCACTAGAAACAAGTTAGAAGAATCAAACCAAGTCGTTTAGGAACACTATAAACCTTAGTTCTACGTAGATAAACTAGTTTCCTTTTTCTTAAACAGAAAGGAGGAACATGAGTTCTTACAAACTTCGAAACACTAAACATCACACAACAAAAAGAAGACATGGAAGAGAACATAGGTGAACAGAAACCCCCTAACTAAATATATATAATTGAAAGGAGAACGCTTTTGGTTACTTGCCTTTGCTTTGGTATTTGGAGTTAGTCTTCTTCTCCCTAGCTGACCTGCGAATTTTCTTCTCCTCAACAGCTTCTTCTTCTTCACCAGCCTCGTCTTCATCATCTTCACCAACCTCTTCTTCATCATCATCTTCAGCAGCTTCATCTTCTAGCTGGCGGATGCATATACGCAAGTACTCAACATTAAGCGGCAGATTCGAATAGGAAGGAATTGACATGAAGTCATCCTCAGGAGTCTCGAAGCTCACTTTCTGAATCCTGTTCATGTCCGCTAATCCAAAAGTCACAGTGTGACGTCCCATCGAGTAGCTTAAGCTAAAGGAAAACTCCCCAACTCCTGGAGCAGATGGAGCTATACAGTTCACAGTCACAGACATTCCTTCCGCCACTTCGAAACACTGAACCACAACCAAAGGACCACCTCCACATTCCTGAAAGACTGAAAGCTTCGAATTTGCGCTCAGATATGTGTTGCGGAGAGTGCCAGAGACGAATCGCATCGATGCATCCTTGTGGTTCGCATCATAGTGACTGTAGAGATCTTTATACACGCCAGCGAAGTTGCAGTTAGGTGCAGGGCAGTAGCAGAGAGTAAAAACACATTCTTTCTCATGAGCTAATTCTTTGCCGTACACAAATTTAGCTGTACAACCATGTTTAGCGTTTAGGCAGGGGACAGTGACTGATTCGATAAGTCTCTCCATGACTCTGCATCGGTTGTAACCAATGGGTAAAGCGCAGGCAGGGCATTTGTTTCTCAGTTTAAGACAGCAAGATGAACAAGCTAAGTGTCCATTGTCACACTGTTGAGATTCAAAAAAATCCACACATAAAAATTGTTATTATCACAAAAATTTTAATGAGATGCAAAAAAATACCAAACTTGTAACGAATCAATGCATAGTCATCAAATATAATCATTTGCTACAATAAGATCATTTGCTATATGTGTCCATTGTCACACTGGTGAGATGCAAAAATTAACAAACTGTAACTAATTAAAAAAAAAATTAGCAAAAAAAAAACAAAACCAAATATAATCATTTGCTATTTAAGACAATAAAACGAGACCTGAAAAACATGTTCGGTGAATGCAAGGCAGCAAACGGGGCAATCGAGAATGTCCAAATCGAGAAGCGTCCCCGATCTTCCCTCCGGTGTCACTTCATCGCCGTCGACACTCGCCGTTACTCTGCCTTCATCTTCAGCAACGGAAGGAAGACGTTGTCTCTTTCTTCGGCTGCGGCTGCTGCTGGACGCTTCTCCAGCGACGGATTTATTGCCTTTCGTCTCTTTCACCATGACTATCGAAATCTCTTTCGCTATGTCGACAGAGGAAACCCTAATTTTTATTTTCCTGCAACTCAATATAGTTCTTATCTTTGGGAAAAGTTAGACCAACTTATTACGATTCTGCCATTTAAAGATCCTTAGGTCAACTTAGGCGGGAAAACCCTTTTCCATTTTCCCGCGGATGTTCTTAAAACTTGGGTCAGTTTTTTTAAATATTTGAGGGAAATTTGGACACAAGAAAATATAATTGATTTGTTCAGAAAAAAAAAATATATATATGTATAATTGACAATTCTCTCAAATAGATTTTTTTATATTAAAAATTTTAGATGTATTTTTTATTTTTTAAATTTGAAATATTATCATCAAAATTTCATTACTCAACTCTAAACAAAAAAGTTTAGGATTAGTTAACTCAAAAGCAGGGCCGTGCCTGACTAGAAGATAAGTCAAACATGTGTTTGGGGACAAAATTGATTTACTAAGTTTAGGGGCCAACATTTAACACAAAATCGTCTATGGCTCTATTGGTAAGTATTTTATATGAATGGCTAAGGTCATGGGTGTTCCAAAAATTTACTATCAAGGGCCAAAAATTATTTATAAGCTTGGGGGTCCAAAATCTTGAGGCACGGCCCTACTCAAAGAGCATAAATATATATTTACTTATTTTTGATAAAATATTTAAATCTATTTTTTTCATTTTTATTTTTAAATTCTATATTTGTGATACAAAATTTTATGTTTTTCCTAGGGAATTTTTCAAATATAATTAGTTATGATGTTATTGTTCAAAAAAAAATGAATGGTGTTTCAAACATAATATAATTAGCAGAAAAAGGTAAGATATTGTTTGTAAAAAATTGGGTAAGATATTGTTTTCTAACGCAATCTGATTTATATTATATTTTGGGTCATGTATTTTGCCTTAACCGAACCTGAAATCAAATGAATATCCTATAATATCTGAAATTCTTAATTCTAAAGAATAACTTGTATCAAACTCCATCTAATCCCTAGCATTTATTCAAAATATACTAAAATATTATTGAATACCTGAAAATAATTATCTATTACATGAATAATTAACTCAAATATTTATTCCAATAATTTGATATTGGATCAATAGTCAGTACTATTGTTTTTGTTTTAAAATTGTATTTAAAGTTCAATTATGAATATGTTTACTTTTAAAATTAAAAAATGTTTTTAAGTTTAAATAATGTTTTTACGTTTATGGAGTTGCTAATTGAGGATTTTAATTTGCTTACATTTTATTATGTATAATTTTCGTTTGTGAATGATTTGTCATGAATCATGATATGCTTGATGTTGTCACGTATAGTTAAAAAATGAGTCTTGTATGATTGATAAACACATTTTCTGTAATTATTTTAAAACACAACAATATGGTTTATGAAAGCCATGTAAAAAGATTGTTCAAAAGAAAAGAACTATATTGAGTTTAATCAAATATAAATTAGTATTCTGGAATCGATAACCCGATTAATATTCGAACTTAAAATTATTTCAGGTTCAACCACAATTTTGTACATGTAACTTAATCCGATCCAATTACAAATATCTATATCGGATTTAGATAGGTTCAAATTCATTTTGATCGAATTGCATTAGATTTGGATTCGGTTTATTTGCTCAGTCCTATCGTTTATATATATATATATATATCTACTCTATTAAAATAGAGTCATTATTTTTATCTATTGATACAAGTTGTCATTTAAATTTGGACTTTTTCTAGAATGTTACAAATAATATAAATCATATAATTGATTGAACCGTATTAATTAAATTAAACCAACACAATTAATGTAAAGACACGACCTTAATGTAAACTACCTTCAAAATACGGCAGGTATCTATGTGTATACCAAAAACACATATTTTCTCCTACAAATATGGAATGTTCTAGAAGAATATATATCATCAAAATATGGAAATCTACTAATTATACTTAAATTAAACCAGTGGTTATTTATGGAATATATTATTCGGCTTACTTTTATTTTCTGAACAAATTATATAGTTTGGTTTTTGGGCTTAGTATTAAGAAAAAAACTCTAAATACATTGAATAAACTTTTCACCTTGAAAGATTAAAAAATCAATTATTATTTTTCAGACTCAAAAGTTATTTAATATTTTTAACAAAACAAAATTATCTATTATTAATCATTTTATTTAAATCATGTACTTTAAAACATGTTAATATATTTTTTATTTTAAATAACAATCACTTTGTTTTGATAAATTTCAATGGTAACTTTTAAATAATTTATTGTTTTATTTTTCTTAAATAATTTACAGATTAAAAAAATGTAAAGCAAAACCAAAAACCAAATCTAATAACTAAAATCCAAAACCAAAAGCTAAAAACACATGTTATATTTTTTTGCTTTGTTTATTTAGAAAATAAACTATTTGATTTTTTTTTTTTTTTAAATTGTTATCATCTTTTCAGTTTTAAATTAGATGTTCGATTATTTGAGATTTGTTTGTTGGTAATACTAGTTCAAATTAACTCAGCGGGTTTAAAAATTAAAAACCCAAACCAAAAACTGAAAATGAAAAGTAGAAACTTAAAAACTAAAAACCAAAAACCAAAATGTAAAAATAAAACTGCAACTAAAAACTAATGAAAAAAAATCATCACCACAAATTTTGGTAAATTGATTTTATATCAAAATAATCTTTAAATTAAGACAAAAACCAATTATATAAATTTTTAATCATAAAAATTTTTCGTGCTTTCAAGCACGGGTCAAAATCTAGTATATATATATAAAGGGGAAAACGGGGGAGGTGGATAATATTATGGTGATAATAAAGTCGCATGTGAAGATAATAATACAAGTATATAAATCTTCCTCGATTTCTTACATGAAAGAAGTAAATTATTAAAACCACAAAAAGGAGAAAAGCATAGGTTAAATCATAAATAGCCAGATCGAATTTAGTATCTTTAGTTATTTTTGATTGATCAAGCCATCCCCACCACCTCTCAAGTTACCACCTAAGGCCTACAAATTTTTGATAGAGAATAAGATTACTAACACATAAAAATACTTACACAAGCAAAAAAAATCTCCAAAAACACTGGAAAAAATCAGTTTTACTTTTACCTGATTGCTGCCATGTCAAGACGAATTGGACGACGGAGCAAAGTTCTACCGTAAAATCCCAGCGCCTAAATTAAATAAAGATCTGATCAGAAATCATTACTTGGATCCTTTTTTTTCATCAACAATATAAGCAAAAACTACTCTCACCGTCTGTGCTTCTTCAGGAGAAGCAAACACAATATGGCCAAATCCCCTGAAACTGCCATCAGGTCCCGTAGCAAGTCTAACTTCAACAACTTCTCCAGCTTCTTGGAAGAACTCCTTGCTAAAAAATGGAGGATGATACTATTAAGGTCAATGGAAGGAAAACTTCCTAAAAGAAAAAGGAATGTGATCTACGTACATATCTGACTTTGTGACATGGAACGCAAGATTGCAAGCAAAAAGTGTTCTTGATCCTTCATTATTACTAGGTTTTGGTGGCTGTGGCTGTGACAAAAGACAAATAATAATACACAAAAGTTAACTTCAAACATAGCAAACGAGAAGGAAGAGACTATAGCATTTAAATTCTGCTCAGCAGACACCATTTTTCTATAAGATAGAGCATAAACAAACAGTAAGTAATATGATATGCTTTAAGAGAGAAATAAGGACAAGTTACATACAGCAACAATCATGGCCCCCTCCTCTTCCTCTTCCTCAGCATCAGAATAATCTGAGGAATCATCTGAGGTTGTATAATACTCTGAGGAAGAAGAAGAATCTGCCTTATCTATATTCAGTTTGGTATTGAACTCATCCGAAAGCTCTCTCTGACCTGAAGAAACAAAAGAAAACAAAAAGAAACAGTCAAAATTAACAGCACAAATATCTCTATGGCTATAAGATCTGAAAGCAATACTTGTATAACAATGAACAGAAGTACCGATTAGGAGATCCAAAGGGTTAGAGGAAATCTCTTTGTGTACAAGTCGCGTTGTACCTTGATTCAAAGGGTTCGTGGCGTCAACCGCAAGAGAAGCTGCTTGAGCCTGAAATTTGAAACACAAACAAAGTTAGTAGAAGAAACATGAAAAGATATTCGAGACAGAGTAAAAAGGAAGCCAGAGAAGAAAAATACCGTGTTGTTAGTTGATTCCATGGAGAAGAATTGAAGAAAGGAAAAGTGTATGCTAGGTTTTAGGGATATGGGGAACATGTACTCTATATATACTAGGGGGGAAAATGAAATAACCTTTACAATATACAAAAAAAGTAAAATATTAATCACATATCTATACTATTATTTGAGAAGTAAATTTGCTTAGTTGTCATGTTCTCCATAAATTTAGGTAATTTTGTTTATTTATCATGTTTTTAATATTTATATATAATTTATTTATATATAAAACGAAATTATATGAATATATCATATTTCTAGAAAATAAGATAATTCTTGTGAATTATGTTGTTATCTTGAAATATATTTTATATATAAAACTTTAATTTTAAATTAAGCTATAAAAATTATTATTATAATTATTATATAACTAAAACGAATTTTGATTAATAAGTTATATTTTTCTAAAGTCTATACTATTATTTAAGAAGTAAATTTGCTTAGTTGTCATGTTCTCTATAAGTTTAGGTAAATTTGTTTCTTTATCATATTTTTAATATTTATATATAAATAAAAAGAATTTATATGAATATATCATATTTTATAAAATAAGATAATTCTTGTGAATTATGTTCTTATCTTAAAATATTTTTTATATATAAAACTTTAATTAAATTAACCTATAAAAAATATTATATTTATTATATAACTAAAACGAATTTTGATTAATAAGCTATATTTTTCTAAAGTCTATACTATTATTTAAGAAGTAAATTTGCTTAGTTGTCATGTTCTCTATAAGTTTAGGTAAATTTGTTTCTTTATCATATATAAAACAAATTAATATGAATATATCATATTTTTAGAAAACAAGATAGTTCTTATGTATTATGTTGTTATGCTAAAAATATATTTTCCTATTATAAAACTTAAACTAAGATATAAAATGATATTATTAATAATTAAATATAAATCATCAAAAGAATTATTTGAAAAGTGAATTTGTTGATTTGCCTCCATGATCTTAGGTAATTTTGATCATTTATGAGAATTTTTTTTTAATTTTGTTTATTATTGATTATATAATTAAAATTAATTTATATTAATAATATGATATTTAGAAAATAATTTAATTCTTATGTATTATGCTGTTATCTTAAAAATATATTTTTCTATTATAAATTTAAAATTAACATGTAAGAAATCTATACTATTATTTAAGAAGTGAATTTGATGTTTGCTGATTTGTCATATTTTCCATGATTTTTGGTAATTTTGATAATTTATCATCATTTCTATAATCTTATATATAATTTATTATATATTTAAAAAAAATATTAATAGTATTAGATTCTTAGAAAAAAATATATTTCTTATGTATTAAGTTGCTGTCTTGAAAATACATCTTTCTATTAGAAATTTAAAATTAAGATATTAAAAGTTGTAATTATTCTATAATTGACATAAATTTACACTAATAATATTATACTTTTAGAAAATAAAGTAATTCTTATGTATTATATTGTTATCTTGAAAATATACGTTTATATTATATAATGTAAAAGTAAAATAGACAATTTATCTATTATTAACGAGATAGAACATCACTCAAGAAAAAATATTCAAAAAGTGAATTTGCTGATTTATTAAGTTCTTCATGATTTTAGGCAATTTCAATTATATGTCATAATTTCTATAATTTTTTATAATTAAAAATAAATAACTTATCATTATATTGTTATTTTGCAAATATGTTTTCTATTATAAATTTAAAATTAAGGTAGAAAAATTATAATTAAATATAAATTAAGTACAAATATTTTTATAAATATTATAATTAAATATAAATCAAGCAAGAAAATTATATAAAAATATTCTTTTAAATATTTCTGATGTTTTAGTTTTGCATTGATAATTATTTAATGTTTGATTTGTAGTTGTGAAAACATAAATAATAATTTACTATGCTGGTTTTTAAATTAATGAAATACCAACTAATAAATATTTATAAGAGAATTATGTCCACAAATGCGGATAAAACACCTAGATGAGTAAATTTTATGGCAAAAACTGGTTAAAGTATGTTGGGCCCTTGATCGAAAACCCATTTAGCAAAAAAAAAGAAAAAAAAACCTAGCATCATTTTTATGGTGTGGTTTCCGTAAATGGCAACGGGTTTTGTTCTGTGGTAGGATCTCGATGATGCTGATTCCAATATCCCTTCCCTATTCCTCCGTTAAGAGATGTGGGCTGCTCTTCTTGCGTTGAAGGTGGCTTTGGTTAGCTTTTGTTTCAGGGAAGCTCGTCTATGACGTGAACATCTCTATGATGCTTCTTTTTGGCTACGGTTTGGTTGGAAGGAGGTTATACTCAAAGTGCAATCCAGAGCATAAGCAATCCAGAACATGCATAGTCATAGATTCCCACTCCATAAAATATTAATTGTCCATATGCCTCTTTGCATAAGCGAACATTTTTGTGCTACGATTTTGGGACTAACGTTTGCTTCTACAACTCCGAGACCCAACGTTACAAGATGGTCACTTTTAAAGTTTTACTTAACACTACGATCATAAGCCAAATTCAAAACTTATACGCAAAACACTGCAGCAGACTACAAACAACACATGCCAGCATTGTTTGATCCAAAAATGGTGTTTTTTGTAGAATCATAACGATAAAAGATTTAAGAATTGGATTCTTAAATCCTTGAGGCTTAGGAGAAATCAACAAAGAAATCGAATGAGAATAGAACATCAAAGAGATTATTGATATAAAGATTCATTACAATGAATGAATACAATGTAAAGTGAATTTATAAATCCCTAAGAAGTGTTCTTAGTCTTAAAAATGAGAAGAGAATCTTTTCTAATAAAGAGGTATCTCCTTATTTATAGGAATATGAGAACTAGGGTTTCCTAGTGAGATGGGCTAATTCATTGTCTTAATGAGCCTTGTTGGGGGTAAAACCTATGTCCAACAGTAAGTCCCCCAGTTCGTAGAGAAAGATGAAATCGATCTCTGCGAAGTCTAAGAATAGGGTTTATGAGACAATGAACTAGGCGTATTCATGCCTGTGACGATTTAGGCGAATTTACTTCGAACTTGTGCCTAGTAAAAGGCGAGTTTACTTTAAACTCGTGCTTAATGAAAGACGAGTTTACTAGACTCATGCCGAGACGAAGGCGAGTTTACTGAACTCGTGCCTAGTAGAAGGAGAGATTATGTAAACTCATGCCTAGCCAAGGATGAGTTTTTGTAAACTCTTGTCTAACAATAAGCGAGTCGATTGTAAACTGCCTAATAAAAAGCAAGTTCAAAGTAAACTCGTGCCTAATATACAAGTTTACCGAACTGTTGCCGACCCGAAGTCTCATGTCGAGATCGTTGTATGTCGAGCAAGTTGCTGGTTTGTATGTTCGTCAGGCTATGATGATGTCGAGAGACATGCTGGCTTGTGCCGCTTGTAGCTCGTACTGCTTCCGCCAAGCTCACGGCTGATGATGGCAACCACTTGTTGATTCGCTTTATCTCTTTGGCTCAATGATCTCTGGCTCACCAAAAGCGTACTCATGATTAGATAAAAACAAATCAAAAGAAATAATCAAGCTTTGTCTCAACATTAAGAAATCAATGGAGCTCGATTTTTTACTTGATGCACATGATGATGGGGTAACTGTTAATTATCAGTATCTTACGTTACCAACAATAAAGCCATAAGGATTATACGAGAGTGAGCAGCTTAGAGTTTTAATAATTTAAAACAATGCTATAATGCAAACACATGTACCTAGTTGACTTTTATGCTACCACAATGTAAAGCGGTGCATCTTAGTGCAAATAAATAACTAATTAGAGTAGGAAACTTATCTCATCAGATTTTGTTACGAGCCCATCAAGCAAATCATTGCCACTTGCATAAACGACTTGAAGGATAAGTTGTGGCCTATGTTGCAGAAGCTTGGTGTTCAGATGAAGTCTGATGAGAAGGAGCTCATGGGTAAGCCTTTGACGAAGCGTGTCATGGAGACATGGCTCCCCGCAAGTACTGCTCTACTAGAGATGATGATCTTTGACCTTCCTTCTCCCCACATCGCACAGAGGTATCGTATTGAGAACTTGTATGAAGGTCCCCTCGATGATCAGTATGCCACTGCTATTAGAAACTGTGATCCTAACGGTCCCCTTGATGGAGCTCCTTGGCGTTGGTGAAGAGTAAAAGACGTCGTTAATGGTGGAGTTCAAAGACGTCATCACCCTCCTTCCTCAACGTAACTGCGTTGATGAACTTGATTGTATCTCTTCTTGCTGAGACCAAATCTTGAGCTTTGGAGACGCATAGACTTTTGAGAACGATATGTATGATCCCTTGATAAAGATCAGATTATGACTTGTGACTTCTCGTAAGATAAGAGGAAGAGAGGTTCCTTGAGGCAACTCCTAAGGTTGGTGAAGAACTTGTCATGAGAACTTGCTTGATAAAGGCGATGGCTTGATAAAGAAGCTCGTGGTGACGACTGAGAACAAGACGCATAAACCTCTAAGATCAAATTGTTTGATAATGAGATGAGGAGCAAGTGGTTGACGAGAAAGCCTTTGTTGAAATGCTCAAGTCTTCAACTTTTCCTGAAACTGTCTCAGTAATATGTAAACTCAGCTTCTTATGATGATGACATTCCGGTCGAGATCATGTCTGAGCAATCTCTGAGGTATCGAGTTGATGGAAGAGAGATGGTCATCTCTTTTATGAGCTGTTTCTTCTTAATGAGAAGCTTGTATTGGACGTGGCAAGCTTGTGGAGTTTTACAAATATCAAACCGCGACAAACCAGGACCAAGAAAAACCAAGAACGCCAAAGCTAGTGACGAGATGGCCGTTGTTGCTTCGATCATGACGTTCCACAATATACAGTTTCTCACATGCATTTCAACGAACAGCTTGTATGCATCTCCCATCCTTCCCGCTTCTGGCTACCACGTTAGCAACTCTTCACAACAAATAGATTCTCTAGCAAACCAATCCGAATCACATGACCTAAGGTTCGAGCTGTCATTGCATCTTGAAGAGAAGCGTAAGCTGAGTTCTCCCGGTGGTTATTAATGGCGTTGTGGCGGTAGAGCACGATTTTCTTGGTTAAGCGGAGAGCTATGGCAGTATGGGTTCGTTATCACTGAGAGAGATGCTGCACTAGTGCTTGACGAGGTCGGAGCCGAGCTTGTTAACATAAGCTTGTAATCCTCGTGGAGGCTTTATGAACGAGATGTCAAGATAAAGATTGGAGATTTGCCACGAAAAAGTCCCAAGCTTTGCCAAAATCAAATTCTTGTCGAAGTCATATGCGGACAGCAAGAAGATCTCAGCAAGGAAGAAGTTTTCTGACAAAGCTTGGCTTGTGTTGTAGTGATTACAAGATCTGCCGGGTCTCGAGAAGGCTGAGAAGAACAGACCCAAGAGTTGCTGAAACCGACGAGTACATGCGATGAGAAAGCTTCTGTAGTCTGACAAGATCTTTTCCTCGCCGGACTGAGCTTCAAGTCAATATCTCGTACTACTCAGCTGTTCGATAATGCAAGAGGAAAGAATCGATCTCGATTATTATTATTATTATTATTTTTATTTTTTATTTTTACAGATCTATGGTTCTTTCCAAATTTGATATGCTTTGAAGATTATTCTCCTCGGCCCCCTCCTTCTAGTGCCAACTGTTTGATCCAAAAATGGTGTTTTTTGTAGAATCATAACAATAAAAGATTTAAGAATTGGATTCTTAAATCCTTGAGGCTTAGGAGAAATCAACAAAGAAATCGAATGAGAATAGAACATCAAAGAGATTTATTGATATAAAGATTCATTACAATGAATGAATACAATGTAAAGTGAATCTATAAATCCCTAAGAAATGTTCTTAGTCTTAAAAATGAGAAGAGAATCTTTTCTAATAAAGAGGTATCTCCTTATTTATAGGAATATGAGAACTAGGGTTTCCTATTGAGATGGGCTAATTCATTGTCTTAATGGGCCTTGTTGGGGGTAAAACCCATGTCCAACAAGCATCAAGAGCTTAAGAAGCAAGATTCTTAATTCTAAGGAGAATAAAAGCTTGCAAGAAAAGGTTTGAGAGGAGGCATTATCACATCTTCCTCAGATATGAGAGTTAGTTAAATCAATTGTCTTCTTGTGATTTTAGTTGAATAATTAGGTCTTAAAATGTCCATCTTTGGAACTTTCTTCGTTAATTTTATTACTCACATAGGATTAAATCTCAAAAGGGTATTTGTCTGATGCGGTTATATAGATACAAAAGTTGGGTCTGCTCTTGTTATTTGAACTTAGAATCAGATTTTGGACACTGAAGTTAGATGCTTGGTTTTGTTGTTTGTTTTTTTTGTTACTTCATCACACCTTGTCTTTTATTTTAAATACAGTACCTTGAGGAGAACAAGAAGCTGATCTTGGAAAAACATGGAAAAACAGAATCTTGGAAAACTTGCAAAGTGTGCACAGTAAGTCTCGTTCTCCTTTGTATCTTCTTCTTTTGCCTAGTTATCTGATTTAGATTCTGTTGAAGTTTTATCTCGATGTTCTGTAATTTGAGTGCAAGTATGCTGCTTAATTTCTTCACCAAACGCCCTCTAGTGATGCTTAGTTTGTTATTGCTTTGGTTGTTTGATTTTGTGGACGTGTCTCTTTGATGAAAAGCTAGATTGTGTGAAAGATGTTTTTGGTTACTTTTCATGTCTGTGACTTGTGTTGCAAGGTTGTTGGTTCAAATGAAGGAATACAATATTGATGTACTCAGAGATGAAGACGAGTTATCTCTTTCAGCTCAGGTGAGACCATATCCTATTTACCCGGCAAAAGGAGGGTTATCCCCAAAGTTCTTAACGATGTCATCTCCAGGTTTTGTGTCTAAATAGATTCAAAATATAAAGAAAAGCCATTATGAATGAGACAAATTTAAATGGGACGGGATTATCCATTTTAACATGACTTATTCTTGGGTTCACCCCCTAGGGTGAACCTCTAGGTTCACCATCCAATAGGATTACATTATTTCATATTTGATATCTTTTTAAAAAGGAAAGAAAATCTTATTAAGTTATATTATGTTTTTAAAAATAAAAATAGAAAATAAATAAATAAATAAAAAATAAATAAAAACGAAAATAATTATTTTTAAATAAAATATTTTAGCATTAAACCCTAAACTATTATCACAAACCCTAAATCCATGGTTAAATCATAAACCTTTAGATAAATTTTATAATGTTTTAAAAATTTAATATTTATGATTTACCCAAGGGTTTAGGGTTTAGGATTAGAGTTTAGGGTTTAGGATTAAAGTTTAGTGTTTATGATTTACCCAAGGGTTTAGGGTTTAGGATTATAGTTTAGGGTTTACTGTTTATGATTTACCCAAGGGTTTAGGGTTTAGGATTAGATTTTAGGGTTTAGTGTTAAAACATTTTTTTTTAAGAACTTTTTTTTTATAAAAGTTATCCAAAGGTTTATGATTTACCTAGGGGTTTAGGTTTTAAGATTAGAGTTTAGGGTTTGGTGTAAAAATATTTTCTTTAAAAAAAGATCATTTTCGTTTTTATTAATTATTATTATTTTTTATTTATTTTTGTATTTTTATTTTTAAAAACATAATATAACTTAACAAGATTTTGTTTCCTTTTTTGAAAGATATCAAATATGAAATAGTGAAATCCTATTGGATGGTGAACTTAGAATAACTCTTTTAACATCTTTAAAAATAACTCAGTAAGATACATAAAATTATATAGACTTATAAAATTTAAAGTACATAAAATATGGATGCAATTCTAGTTATCTTTAGTTATTCTTGATTGATCCTGCCATTCCCACCACCTCTCAAGTTACCACCTAAGGTCTACAAATTTTTGATAGAGAAGGAGATTACTAACACATAAAAATAATTACACAAGCAAAAAAAAATCTCCAAAAACACTGGAAAAAATCAGTTTTACCTGCTTGCTGCCATGTCAAGACGAATTGGACGACGGAGCAAAGTTCTACCGTAAAATCCCAGCGCCTAAATTAGATAAAGATCTGATCAGAAATCATTACTTGGATCTTTTTTCCATCAACCATATAGCAAAAACTATTCTCACCGTCTGTGCTTCTCCAGCTTCTTGGAAGAACTCCTTGCTATAAAAATTGGAAGACTATTTAATATTAAGAACTCCTTGCTAAAAATCATGAGGACTATTTATACTTACATATCTGACTCTTTGACGTGGAACGCAAGATTGCCAGCAAAAAGTGTTCTTGATCCTTCATTAGTAGTAGGTCTTGTTGGCTGTGGCTGTGACAAAAGACAAATAATAATACACAAAAAATAACTTCAAACATAGCAAATGAGAAGGAAGAGACTTTAGCATTTAAATTCTGCTCAGCAGACACAATTTTTTCTATATGATGATAGAGAACAACAAACAGTAAGTAATAAGGACAAGTTACATACATCAACAATCATGGCCACCTCCTCTTCTTCTTCCTCAGAATCAGAATAATCTGAGGAATCATCATCTGAGGTTGTATTACTCTGAGGAAGCCTTATCTATATTCAGTTTGGTATTGAACTCATCCGAAAGCTCTCTCTGATCTGAAGAAACAAAAGAAAACAAAAACGGCCTTATAAATAGTCAAAATTAACAGCATAAAAACGTTTAATCCAAAGTTGAGATTCTCAATAGTAAACGGCCTTATAAATAACTCAATGGCAATAAGATCCGAAAGCAATACTTGTATAATAATGAACAGAAGTACCGATTACAAGATCCAAAAACTATAACCACTATATATCGTCACTGACTCATAGCGTCAGAGGAAATCTATTTGTGTACAAGTCGCGTTGTACCTTGATTCAAAGGGTTGGTGGCGTCAACCGCACGAGAAGCTGCATGAGCCTGAAAATTTGAAACACAAACAAAAGTTAGTAGAAGAAACATGAAAAGAGGTACGAGATAGAGTAAGAAGGAAGCTAGAGGAGAAGAATACGATGTTAGTTGATTCCATTGAGAAGAATTGAAGTAAAGAAAAGTGGCTGCTAGGTTTTCTAGGTAATGGAGAGAGACGTTACAATTTATTAGGTTTAGGGATTGGGGAACATGTACTATATATATATACTAGGTGATTTTCCCGTGCTCAGGCACGGACATAAATATTTATAAAATAATATATTATAATAGTTGATTGATATTTACCTTAACTTTTATATTAATTTATAGTTTTTATGTATAATATATTATATTATTTTAGTTATATATAATTTTAGATGTATTATATTTAGTTAGTTTATCATTTGGATATATATATATATATATTGGATTCTATCTATTTCTCTGAATTCAACTATAATCTTTTTTATTCTAAATATCTTAAATTTTTGATTAATTGTTTTATTTACATTTATGTTGGTTGTTATCTTAGAAATATAAGTATATCTTAGTAAGATTATGTATTTTATATTTTTTGTGCTTAGAACGAAAAAAATAAAAACTAAAGTGTCTGATACAAAATTAGATACATAAGTAATAATAAATTTTCAGAAGCTTATGAAAACATATCAATATTTACAATAATTAAATATTTTAGAAATTTTAAATAATTTATGCCTTAGATTGATTAGATGGTAAACTAAAATTTATTTTAAATAATTTTTAAAATTAAGGATTATGATTTTCTTAAGTATTTTGATTATGGTTATATTAAATTCCACAAACATAAAAACAGAAAATTAAACATCAAAAGAGTTATGAAGAAAACATATAATTTTAACTATTAAAATATAATATATTTACCTCGTTAAATTATATAGTGTTATGATATTTTAAAAGAATTGTAGTTATCTGATCAAAAGATGTTTACCATTAAATTTATTTTTAGTTTTGTTTTTAATATCTCTTAAAATATGCAGTAAAAATGTGATTGTTTTTGAGAAATTATATTATATAAGTAAAATATAATTTATATTTTTGCTGTAACGCTAAGATATTATAATCAAATAAATATACTAATTATAATTTTTTTGTCAATTAAACATATATCAGTTTATGTTACTTAATTATTTTATGTAATCATATAATAAAATAGATAGATATATACAAAAACTAATTACTTTGAAAATAAATATTTTATTGTTTAAATTATTTTTTTAAATAAAAAATATTTCTTTTTCTAATATCAAGATTATTTGTATGAATTTTTTTTTTATGAAAACACATTATATACAAATATTTTTTTCATCTAAGAAGATATAGATACAAAGTATAATTACTTAAAAAGTATAATTTATGTTATTTAAAAATATATTTAAGTTAAATATTACTATTTTGTAAACTTTTCTTTTTCATGAAACCATATTATATATATACTTATTTTTCGTTTTTAAATAGTTTTGTAAATTTTAGAAATAATTCCTTTTTGTTTTATATTGTTATTTGGAAGATTTTAAAAAGGAAATAATAATATTTAAATATATTTTTAATTCATTAGGGGTATCATAGTAATCAACCAGCGTGAGAGTTAACGTGAGCGCGACACCTAAGAAAGTGACTTCTCAAATAATATTATAGAGATATTAGGGGGAAAATTAAATAACTTTTACAATATACAAAAAAAGTAAAATAAATAATCACATATCGATAAGTAAATTTTGTGGCAAAAACTGGATATGAATATTGGGTCCTTAATAAAAAACCAATTTAGCAACAAAAAAAAAAGTACCAAATTTCGTTATCGGAGTGATTCAGGTTTTCAGGTTTTTGGGGTGTGGTTTCGGTAAATGGATCGTCTACTATCTATCTATTGTAAAAAAGGGTTATGTTCTGTGGTGGGATTTTGATGATGCTGATTCCAATATCCCTAAATCCGTAATCAAATATTTTTAGGCGAAATCGTTAAGAAATAGCCTTAGGCCCCATAATTCTCAGAACCGGCCCTGTCTCAGTGACGCTCCATCTTTTTGGCTACGGTTTGGTTGGAAGGAGGTTATACTCAAAGTGCAAGCTAGAGAATGCATGCATAGTCATAGATTCCCATTCCATAAAATATTAATTGTCCATATGCCTCTTTGGTGGGACGATTTTGGGGCTAACGTTTGCTTCTACAACTCCGAGACCCAATACATGATACATCTAAACCAACGTCACAAGATGGTCACTTCTACAGTTTTACTTAACACTACGATCATAAGCCAAATTTAAAACTACGCAAAACACTGCAGCAGACTACAAACAACACATGCCAGCATCAAAAAGAACTTGCAGAAAAAGGTTTGATCAGATGAGCCATTCTCACATCTTCCTCAGATATGAACATAAACATTTTTATCCCATGTTATTAGCGGGTTTCTTAACCCGGAGGCCCCACAAAAACCATAAACACCGATCACAAAAACCCCAAATAAAAACCGATGTAAGTGGATACCTTGCACTATTCAGGACCCCATGTAAGTGGATACCTTGCACTATTCAGGACCCCACAGACACGGTTCGCGATTGGTTCATTTTTTTTAATCAGACAAAAGAAAACTCCAAATGGTTTCATGAGATAAAGATGCTATTATATTCACTTCCAATGCAAATCTGCATCTTCAAGTGATCACCACTTAACATATAATCCGGAATAATCATGAAGGCATCTTTGGCTCCTCTTGCTCTCTCTCACTTTCTGGATTTTCTTCACCATCAATCCAAGCCTTAGTGTGGTATACAATAAAACCAATAACACAAGAGTTAGACTTTCTTGTGAAACGTGGTACATATATAAGATAGTTATTTTAAAAAAAATGAATATCAAATAGCATTTGATCAACCAACATGGAAATATTTAAAAAGACAACTCATCTTATTTGATCAATAAAAAATGAAACAAACATCCGTGCACATATCAAATTCTAGTTTTGTTTTAAACACACAACATTAAGAAAATAGAAACCTCTCTGTCTCTTTTGCTTAGTCTTCCAATGATAATAAACATCCTAAAACAATGGATATGAAATGATCGATAATTACTCCTCTTCAGCTTCATCTTCATCCTCGTCCTCATCAACTTCTTTTTCTTCTTCTAGCCGGCGGATGCAAATAACCATCTTCAACCTAACTTTCTGACCCACAATATAGTAAGGAACTAACATGAAGTCCTTCTCAGGAGTTTCCAAGCTCACTTTCTGAATCCTATTCATCTCCTCTAAGGCAAACGTCATAGTTGCATCTCCAAACGTGTAGGAAAGATGATATGAGAATCTCCCAACTCCTGGAGCACAAGGTGCTAAGCAGTTCACAGTTACATACATTCCTTGTGGTTCATTGAAACACTGGAGCACAACCAATGGACCATCACTAGACTCCTGAAGGATCAAAATCTTCTCCCTTGTGGGTATCCATGCGCCACTGGAACGGCCGCACACGAAACAGTTCCATAATTCCTCGTCCTTGTGGTTAGCATAGTAGTGACTGTAGAGGTCCTTGTCGCCACTGTATTTGCAGTTTGGTGTTGGACAGTAGCATAGGGCGAAACTGCATTCTTTCTTATGGGCTATTTCTTTACCATAAGAGAACTTTTCGGTGCAGCCATGTTTTGCGTTTGGGCATGGAACGATGATTGCTTCTACAACACTCTCCATGATTCTGCATCGGTAGTTACCTATGGGTAAAGCGCAGGCAGGACATTTCTCCTCAGTTTAAGACAGCAAGAAGAACAAGCTATGTGTCCATTGTCACACTGATGAGATGCAAAAATCCACACAGAGTGTTATTATTACCAAAGTTGCAATGAGTATTCATAAGAAAAGAAAAAAATGTATCAATACCTTGTCCAACATATGAACTCAATGTGGCAGATAAAATTAAATTGTCAGAAATCGGACTACAAGTCTATCTATAAGTACAAGAAAATAGAAAATGATCAATCATATACATGTCAGTGAACTTCTGTAGTAAAAACTAGACATGGATTTTACTACTCACTGTTATAGTAAAAGTTCCATATATATCATTTTGATGAAGAGAAGCTAGGGTTATTACAATCACACGTGTGCTAGTATATGACCACATGCTTCATTTCTTTCAATTAAATGCAACGTTTTCCTCAAAATCCATAGACACTAAACCGTAAGTTTTCGATACTCTGAATCAGCCACGATTATATATTGTTAACCAGAAAGGAGGACTCTTAAAGAGTAGAAAAAGGTGAGAGACGAGACCTGAAAGATAGGGTTTGTCAGTGCATGGCAGCAGACGGGACAGTCGAGAAGACCCAAATCAAACATAGTCCCAGATCGTGCCTCCGTTCCTCTACCATTCTCGCCTACTTTTTCTTCAAAAGTGGAGGGAAGTCTACGTTGCCTCTTTTGTTGGTGACTGCTTGACGCTTCTCCAGTGAAGGCTTGCTCCGCGTTCATCTCTTTCACCGTGCCTAACTAAGCTGCGTCTTTATTTTAGGTTAAGAATATGTTGTTGGTAAACCCTAATTTCCTTTCCTGCTACGTTTTAAAATTGTAGGACTTAACTTTTAAGACTTCGTGCAATTTGCCGTTCTCATTAGGTGAGGGACACAAAAGCCCACTTCATTTTGTAACTGAATATACATTTCGATTTTACGGATGCTACCTACATCTTACGTCTGAATGTTAATTTTTACTCTATTATCTTTTCTATCGACTGTTTTTGGGAACATAAAAAAGTTTTAACGGTCTACCAAAGGTCTAATTAAAACAGCTATGTCGTATCCACTAATGAGCATCTTTTGTGTACTAATGTTTACGGATATCAAAGTGTTTGAACCGAATTCGGTCGGAATCAGTAAGAGACAAAAAATTTCGGTGGATTAGTTTGAAGGCGTTTTATTAGGTCGGAAGGATGTTTATCGGTTTACAAATATAGAACAAACGGAGAGATTAAGCCGGAGCTAGTCGAGAAAGTACAAGTACAAAAGTATGAAAATTCTAATTCTAGCTATCAAATGTGTACTAGGTTATTTCAGATGCCTTTCCTTACTCCCTCCTCCTTATATATAGACATCATTGTCCTGGTCGATCTGACCTAGTGGGCCTTAAGTCACACAAGCCGCGCAGCCCGTGTGACGGATTAAGCTGATGGTTGGGGACGAACTAAGACGCTCTTATGATCCGGCTAAAAGCAGTCTTAGGCCGAGGTTATGCGCCGACTCGGCCTAAGTCGAGTTATTTTCAATTGCTTATAATGGGCCGGATTGTTTATCTCGTGGGTCCTGTGAAAGGATGTGAATCCTCCTCCTACACAAAATGACCTTTATAGCCAAAGGTAAATTAGCTCAGTATATACTAACCACTCATCCTCAGTTTTGCAGGACAACACCAAGAGTTCTCTTAGGTGGCTCTCCACGACCATGCTGTAATATGTTACAAACACACACACCATTAAGCACAAAACAATTAATTAGAAAAATATATAAAGAAACAATTAACAGAAACTCAAGTTGACAGGAGCAAAGTTCTTTCAGAAAATTGAGTGATTCACATGACCTGCAACAATAGACATAAAACTCAATGAGTTTCATTCTCTTGCACAAAAAACAAAACCCCCCAAATCGTCTCGAGGAAACATTAAGAATAAAGATAAAAACCAAAACGTTGTTTGATTTTTCCATTTACTATCAATCATATATCTGGTTCTGAGCTCAAGACTTAGCAGCAGTATCTCCTGAGCCAGTTTGCATTACTGATCAAATTTTGAATCCATTCAGAGAGAGATTTCATCTGAAAATCATACTATACAAACTCAACTACCTCAACAACTAAACTTCGTTAGCTCAACTCGATTGATCAATAGGCCGTAACTTTAATGTGGTCCAAACCAATCACAAAACCAACCGAACAAACACAACATATCCAAAAGCGAAAATAAGAAAAGGTCAAAACACCCCGCTTTCGAACTTGATGTCACTCTTCAAATTGACAACAGTGGAAGCATCTCCCTTGTTCACAGTTTCTCTAGGGCATTGTTGTTCTTAGTGACGTACGTCTGGTGATGCTTTTTTGACGAATCTGTATATAATCTCGTCGCTAATCGCCGACTCCAGTGCGCTGAAATCATAGGGAAGATCAGGAAGCAATGGGAGCCTAAGTCTCACAACGTTAATTGTATTTGGTTGTTTATTTGATTAGGTTAGGAATAAGTATATGGTATGACGATTAATTGCATCTGTATAGTTAGTTGTATTTGGTTGCTTATTTGATTAGGTTAGGAATAAGTATATGGTATGTCAGATTAATTGCATCTGTATAGTTAATTAGTTGTATTTGGTTGCTTATTTGATTAGGTTAGGAATAAGTATATGGTATGTCGATTAATTGCATCTGTATAGCAATGGGAGCCTATAAGTCTCACAACGTTAACTGTATTAAATTAAAGGTTTATCCTAAATTATGACTTTAATTTAATAGATTAGATACATTAAAGAGTAGTATATGAAGTTAGACATTCATAAAGCTGATGAAAAAATCGCACTTTCTAGTACTTTTAGGTGATTTTATTCATATGCAGCACCTTGAATATTTTAAGTTTTTAACTAATACAAAAAAACCAAAAATTTATCAACATCATACTCATAGATTCACATCCTATATAATATATATAGTCCATATGGTTCCTTGCCACAAGATAACTTCTCGGTGCAACCATGTTGGGCGCTTATGCTGGTCAACGTCCTATTCTACAACTACTCGTTACTCTGAACTCCAATCCAATACATCTAAAACAAACGTTACAATTCACTTTTAATTAATACTACGATCATAAGCCATAAAAGACCAAGGTTTATTGAGTTTTCTTAATAATATGAAATTTAAAATTTAAAATTACGCTTAACACTGTAGCAGACTACAAACAACACATGGAGCAAGATTCTTAATTCTAAGGGGGGAAAAGAAGCTAGCAAAATAGGTTGAGAGGAGCCATATTATCACATCTCCCTCAGATATGAACATACTTGTATTCACTTCCAACGCAAATCTGCATCTTCAAGTGATCACCACTCAACATATAATCCGGAACAAACATGAAATCATCTTTAGGCTCTTCTGGCTCTACCACTTTCTGGATTTTCTTCACCCTCACCCCAAGTCTTAGTGTTGTATACGCATTGAGTTTAGCTAGACTGCATGAGAGGTTGGGTGATCCATACATAGGGGTGATACAGCTCACGGTCACACACACACCACCATGCGTACCTTTGAAAGCCTGGACTACAACCAAATCCCCCCCTTTCTCTTCCTGAAAAATGGTAGTCTTCTTCTTAGCCAGGTTCATGCTAAATATCTGAGGAGTGTCGAACACAAACGGGATGAGGTTTTCAGCGTCCCACGAGTGTGTAGCACGAGCGTGGGTTTGTACATCCATGTAGGCCCCAGTGTAGTTGCAATGCGGTAAAGGGCAAAAGCAAGCGACGTACATACAGCGCCTCTCATGTGTGGATTGGTCCCCATATGGTGAGGTATGTTGACACCCGTAAGTGGAGTTACGACAAGGTACCATAGATGATTCAATGACCTTCTCCATGGCTCTGCATCTAATCTCCCCAATGGGTAACCTACAGAAAGGGCACTTCTTCCTCAACTTGAGGCAGCACAAAGAACAAGCTAAATGTCCGTTACTACACTGAAAAAAAAACAATAAAACACCAAAGGGTTAAAGACTTTCTTGTGAAACTCATTGACCCCACAAACAATTATTCTTATAACTAAATCCAGTAACGTAATTAGAGATAACGGTCACCTTTACATACAATTTAACCTAATTCGAGATAAAGCTGTGACCTTTACATACAATTCTTTTTTTTGAATGAATATTCAATTTTATACACCAAAAAAGGCCTTTATACAACAAGTGCATCCTTTTTACTTTTAAAGCTAAAAACAAAGCTCAACCAACTACCATTTCAAAGAAACTAAAGGACTCATACCAAAGAAGCTGTGACCTTTACATACAATTTAACCTAATTAGAGATAGAGATGTCACCTTTATCTACAATTTAACCTAATTAGTGACAAAGCTGTGACCTTTATATACAATTCAACTTAATTAGAGATAAAGCTCTCACCTTTAAATACAATTTAACCTAATTAGAGACAAAGCTGTGACCTTTATATACAATTCAACCTAATTACGGATAAAGCTGTGACCTTTAATAAGAGAATTGAGAGTAACCTGATAAATGGGTCTCTTGAGTGGCTCACAGCAAGTAGGACAATCAAGAATCTCAGAGCTTTTAAGCTTAATCAACTGTTGAGACGAAGAGGAGCCAGGGCTGCTGCTGCTTACCGATCTTCTCGATTGGGTATCCCCAATATTGTCACCAACATCTTCTGGGACTTGGACGTCTTCTTCTTCTTCTTCTTCATCGGAACTCTCGTCGGTGTCATCTTCCGAGTCTTCGTCCTCTTCATCGCCGATACTCGCGGCGCTGTAATCGTCGTCTTCTTCTTCTTCTTCGTCCTCTTCGGGGACGGGAGGAGGGAAGCGTTGTCTCTTAGGGGAACGGTGGTCGGGGTTTCTCGGCGGGAGGGACATCTTAAAAGTTTGGATCTTGTGACTGTCTGCCTGACTGACTGTTGGGATAGGTTTTTTTTATAGGGGTGAATTCTGATTTCTTGCCGGTTTTGGTTTGGTCAACAAAAAGTTTGATTTGATTCATTACTATTTTGGTTTTGATCTCATTTGAATATTCGCAATTTTATTACTAAATTTTGTGAATTTCTATTTTAATTTTTAGAAACTATAGATAGGCCAAAGATAAATCAAGTATAAGTTATAAGGAACTTCCTTATAAATTTTGAAAGTTCCTTATAAATTATAATAAAGTATTAATATTTTATTATTATAACATAAATCAAAAATCTTATTTTAGAACGGTCTGTAAAATTTTAATCACGATGATTGAAAAATTCGTTTCGCCTAATTTCAATAATATAATTAGATTAGTATATTCAACTTATAACAAAGAATTCTATGATTGGAGTTCTTAATATATATATTAGTATATTCAACTTATATATATATATATATTCAACTTATATATATATATATATATTTATAAATACTAGTATAAATATATATAGTATATTCAAATTATATATATATTTATAAATATTAGTATTTAGTTATTTTACGAGAAATCTAATCAAAAATTTCTCATTAAAAATTTTTTTGTAAGAAATTTTCAAGTGTTTCATTTTAAATATATACCTATTTCAAAAAGCACAAGTAAAATATTATTTTTTTTATACATAAATGATAACTAGTCATTAGAAATAGATTATTCGAGTAAATGTATTATTAAATAGACATAATATACTTAGATTATTTTACCTAATTTATAAAGAATTTTCAAATGTTTCATCTTAAATATATATCTCGTTAAAAAGGTATAAACCCAATATTTTTTTTCCTAAATAAATCTTAGCTAGTCGCTAGAAATAGATTATTCGGATAATTATATTATTGAACACACATAAAATATTTAGATTATTTTACCTAATTTATAAAGAATTTTTCAAATATTTCATCTTAGGTATATACCTCGTTAAAAGGCACAAGTACAATATTACGTGTTTTCTACATAAATCATAACTAATCTCTATAAATAGATTGTTCGGATAATTGTATTATTGAATAGACATAACATATTTAGATTATTTTACCTAATTTATAAGGAACTTTCAAAATTTTCATCTTAGATACATACCTCGTTAGCAAAAATATAATATTACTTATTTTCTGCATAAAACATTATTAGTCGCTAGAAATAGATTCTTCATATAATTGTATTATTGAACAAACATAAATACCTAGATTATTTTATCTAATTAATAAGAAATTTGAAATGTTTTATTTTAGATATATAACTCGTTAAAAGGGCATAAATTACATTACATACTTTTTTATATAAATCATAACTAGTCGTTTTAAGAAAATTATATGGAAAATCGTAATATTAACCAAACATAACTTAATTTTCACAGATTCTATATGAAAAATATAAAAATCTTTGTAATTTTCTCTACAAAATAAAAATATAAAAGATTATTTTGTTAGTATTACAAATGAATAAAGTCTTTTTATAAACATATCAGTAAAATATTTTTTAAATTAAAAATCAAAGTTTTTGTTCCAAAATTACTCCCAAGAATCAAAACTATCAGAATAAGTTTCATTAAAGAGGTAAATAATAATTATACACATTCTATAAATATATATAAATATCTAATTAAATTAGTTTTTATTTAATTATTTTCAAAATTTTAAGTTTTGTTTATAATATATATCTAATAAATAATTAATTATAAATGATGATAGAATTATCATTTACAACTTTAAATAAAAACTAATTTAGTTACTTTGACTTTTATAAGCTATTTAGATAGGAGATTTGCCCTTTACATATTGCTATATGTAAGGGACAAATCTCCTACCTAAATATATATAAATAAGTATCTAACTAAATTATTTTTATTTAATTATTTTCAAATTTTAAGATTTTCTTATAATATATATATATATATATATATCTGATAATTAACTAATTATAAATAATGATAGAATTATCATTTACAACTTTAAATAAAAACTAGTTTAGTTACTTTGACTTTTATAAGCTATTTAGGTAGGAGATTTTCCCTTTACATATAGCAATAATATTATATTTTAATTGATAGGTTTATTGATGTAATTGGTTTAAATTGGTTTGTTACAACCATAACCATATCTCACCTACTGTATTTAAAATATATCAGTATGGTTTATATGGATTTTGCTAATACGCAAACTGTTCTTTCGAATCTGTTTAGTTATTTTAGAAAACAACTAATTTTCTCAAACAAACTCTCTCTGAAGCTGATCAATGTAGCTGGGCTACACGTTCTGTGCAACAAGAACCAATCGTTTCTCTCTTTTTGTCTTTAAATTACTCCAAAAATCTATCAGAGAAATGGTACAAAAACAGTAAACGCCTTGTTATGGTTGCAGCTAGCACATTAAACATAAAGAATTTAAAGGAAACAGTAAAAGGCGGGCAACAACATTCTCTATTCAGGAGTGGCGTTGCCATTCTGTATCATCGACTTCTCGGTCGGCAAATCCTTATTATCATTCTTGGTTCCTTCAACTTTCCAAAAATCCCACACTTTGGTGTTAGGTGGAGGAGTACCATCTCCAATTGGTGCGACTAATCCCGGTTTGCCATCATCGATTACAGCGTCTATCAAACCATACTCTTTGGCCTCCCATGGATTCAAGAAGTAATCACGGTCTGTGTCACCTTCAATCTGTACAAGGATATAAGTATTGAGTTGCAAATCATATCAAAGAGATGGGGATTTCTAGCCTTTCATACCTCTGATTCGGGCTTCCCGGTGATTCTAGAGAAGATTTTGTTAAGTTTAATCTTGTGGTACATCATTTCTCTAACGCGAATGCTCATTTCCGTTGCCTACACACATCCAAAATTTTGTTGTGTTATCAAAACACTCATTCAGTAGAAGAAGAGAAGAAAAAAAGCATAAAAGAAGATGAATACTTTGCCTCCGGCAGAACCAAGTGGCTGATGGATCATAACTTTAGAGTTAGGCATGCAGAAACGCTTCCCTTTGGAACCAGAAGCAAGGAGAAACGCACCCATGGATGCAGCTAGTCCTAAGCAAACAGTGGATACTTCAGCCTTGCATTGTTTCATCGCATCATATATTCCCATCCCTAACCACCAAAGCCATTTCAAAAGAATTAAAAAACTCAAATATTCACAAATAGAATATGGTGAGACCACAGGGGACATTACCAGCAGTGATAGAACCACCGGGTGAATTGATAAAGAGCGTGATGTCTCTCTCAGAGTCCTGTGCATCTAGTAACAAAAGCTGACTTATCACCAAATCTGCTGTCATATCATCCACCTGGAGAAATAATCAATTTCAAGAGATAAATAATTGAGTCATACAACAAGAACAGAACTCTCCTCTCCTCTGAGAACAGAACAAGAACTGTTGATTATACTCCAGCATGTTGCGACAAAAAGCTCAAAAGATATGAAAGCCTCAACTAGTAATAATATTAGTCAGCAAGAAACAATCTTAGCTACACAAACTGCTACAGTAATCATTTTTAATCAGCACAAATTCTATACAAAATCAAAGAGCTAAAGAATATGGTAGCCTCTTTGGGTACTACTGATTAATGCAAATATTGCTCTAATATTCACACGGATGTCACTAATTAAACAGGTCAATTCCAGGAATAAAAACTTGGATTTAACCTGAGAACCGAGGAAGACGATTCTTTGACGGAGAAGCATGTTCGTGGTGTCAAGTTCCTCGAAGCTGGGGAGACGAGAAGGAGATTGAGCAACGGAATCAACGGAGAATTTAGACACATCCCAGTTACTAGACAGGGTTTGTCTGGGTCCAGACAAGTTCGTCGAAGACCTAACGCAAAAGGGTTTCGCTCTTTTCGGGATTTTCTGGTGTTGGCTTAATAAATTCAGTTTTGTCCCTGATAGAATCGGATTAAAAAGGAAAACATGGTTTGAGGTTGAAGACGATACGAGATTCAAACTCATCTCCACCTGTGTTTGGTTTCTCAAGTTGTTTTTTCTTTGTCTTGGGTTTGATTGCGCTAAAGATAAAGGGTGAACTGATGGGGCTGTTTCTGGAGGCTCGAGAACTAAACGATGTCGCATCACCAACGAATTTGGGTGATATTTTTGTATCTATAACGTGTATGATTCTTCTACTCTCTTAAAGCTTTACAAGTCTCAATCTTACAACATCAAACTCAAGAGTCTCATATTTCCACATATATATAGATGGATGTCCTATATAGATTCCAAACAATTTGGAGGCTTGCCTACTTTGGATATTTGGTTTTATAAAAAAGTTTAGATTCATCAAATTCTAATCTGATATGGATCGGTTCAATTCGGTTTACTTTATCCAGATTGTTCTCTTTCACATACTTGAGCACTATGAAAAGAGCACACACTTGGTCAATAAACACCCAAACCCATATGTTATCAGAAGTTTCTGAAAACAAATTTAGAGGTTATTAAGTGCTCCTGAAAAGCACATGAACAAGTCTTGACACAAGAAAAAAGGTTTAGAGAAGAAAAGCATGGGCACCATTGTTATGCAGGTCTCCTCCCAAAAGAAAAAGAAAAACTGTTCTCACTTCCTTAGAAAAGCAACAGTTGCCACACGTGATCCGACAGACCCACCAAACATGAACGTTGGGTATGTCCTGACGTGGCTCAGATACTCAAACGGAGGATGATCAGTTCCACTTGCAGCTTCCGACCCAGAGGAAGACACATCTCCAGTTAGATTTGATTTTCTCATGTTGAAATTCTCCACTTCTTCCAAGAGTTCGTCCTTTGTGTTGTTACACGACGTGATAACCTTTCAACAGAAGCAGAAACAAATAAAAAGTTCAGCTAACACTGAGACTGTTTGCTTTAGGATAACAGTTCTATCGGAATTTATAGCAGCTTTTTATTACATAATGTTTTCACAAGTCAAGAAGCTATTACCAGTATTCCACCAGGAGCAACCAGCTTGGACACTGAATCCCAATACATGACTCTGAAAACAGACAAATAGGAGTGTGATTAGTGACCAAAATTTA